GGAAGGGAGTTAACACCGTGTACACCATTGCTCACCTCTTTGCAATTTTAAATTCCCCAGGAGGAGAAATAACTCAGGGTTTCTAGGACCACAGATATGTGCATGATGAAACGGTATAGTCTGGGTATGCAAAAGTGACTTTTGAGTATGGCATGGGGCATCTGTAAGCTTACCTGTGCTAGTTCAGCTCCTGTTATCATTGGTCCATGAGTAAGGTCCTATGAGCAGAGAAGATGCCTCAGTACACAATGAATCTTAGTTGCCCATCTCCCTGGGGCTGCCTGTAGATACAGAAGGGGTGGGGGGGATGCATGCAATCAAACAGGTGGTAATAACTTCTGAACCCAGATGTTAACAAAGAAAGCTGGCCCAGATACATGATGCTCTTTGCTGATCATCTCATCTACCTTGACTTCAGAATTGTAGATTATTCTTTAGGACCCGTAGCACCTCGTTAGATTGTGGCGTGAACCATGAACTCAGCTGGGGACATGACCTTCCTTTTTCCCCAGCCTGTAGAATCCTGGGGAGGTTGGCTATTGCTGCCTCTATTCACCTTGGGCATGATGTAAACAGAAATTAGCATCTGTCTTCTTCCTTTTTCCACACCCTGAAGTCATTTCCTCTTACCTGGGATTCTGATGTCTGTATTCCCTCTGTGTGATGGATGCACACCGAGAGACAGGGAGGGTGGGGGGAGGAACTTCTTAAAATTCCCCAAAATGTTTTGACACTGGTTTTCAATGTTGCAACTGGGACTAGTCAGTTTCTAGTTTGGGTTTCCATCAGAAAGTTCTGTAGGAGTAGAGTATATAAGCTCTAGGAGCAACAGCAACAGCAGAAGGAGCAGCAGTCGAGGTACACCGGACCAGGCAGCCTGTAACTACCAAGGTGAGTACTCTCCTGCTTCCTGCCACTAATTCCCTGAGCCTAAAGGCTGTTCAGGTACAGACTCTAGGGGCTGTGCTACCCCTGAACCAGGCAGTATGGGAGCGGGGGTGAAGGGAGTCTGGAAGTGTTCCTTATGGCTTATCTACTGGTGAAAACTAGACACTTGGGGGACTCAAATATTTGTTTAGAAAGTCAGCTAATTATAGATGTGATGTTGTACACCTATAATCTCCAAATTTTGGAGGTGGGGGCAGAATGAACAAATTTGGGGGTTTAGGGCCAGTTTCAGCTACTTAATGAGTTTGAAATCTGTCTCAAAAAAAAAGAATGAGCTACTAATAACGTGTGAAACCCTTTAACAGATGTGTATCTGATAGATAGGTTTGCTTTGTCTTTATTATTATTATTATTATTATTATTTTATCTTTTGAGACAAGGTTTCTCTGTAGTTTTGAAGTCTGTCCTGGAACTAGTTTTTGTAGACCAGGCTGGCCTTGAACTCACAGGGATCGTGTGCCACCACCTCCCAGCTGGTTTGCTTTGTCTTATATAGACACATACACATGTGGACATGTTTGTTGGTACTAATGGCTGTCTCCTAACGAGTGTAGTTAAGTTCTTGCCTTACTAGTGAAGCTTTTTAAAAAGCTTTTGTGCATCCCTTACAGTTACTGAACTCGTAACTGAACATCCTGCTTGCTTCCCTCCCTATGGTGGGCTATAGAGTCAGCTGTGACAGTCGCACTGCATAGCTGTGTTCTGTGGTTCCCTGTGGCTTTTTAACTCATTTCACCACCTCAACAAAACCGAAAAGCCTTGGTCGTGTTCAAAACTCCTTCCTAAAGTGTCTAACATCTGTGAGAAAGGGGGTGAAAGATCATCTTCATGGGCTCATTTCTTCTGCTTGCCCAGGTAAAGTCAGGGGTACCAGAGGGATCAGGGTGACAACACATTTTTACACAGCAGCCACGAAGCCTCAGCTGGCTGCTCAATTCGTTCAAGCTGTGTTTCAGGATGAGGTTAGGTCATCTCCGAGGTTCATTCTGCTGAGATCTGAAATACACCAAGAATCCATGGACTCCCTCTAGGTTAGACTCTTACACCCTCTAGGTATAAGACAAGACAGACATGAATTCTGCCGTCAGGCCTCAGTATGGAGGACATAGACATTAAAGATGTAACCAAATTCTTGCCATCGCAGTAAGTGCTGAGGGAGGAGAAGAGTGGGGATTTGGGGGTCCTGATTTCATTTTCAGATCAAGCAGGCACTTTCTATGGATCGTTTCATGAACTCCTGTCCTGATGGGGTTCCTATTTTACAGTCTAGGAGTATAAGGTTTACAGAAGTCAATTCAACTTGTCAGGGTCACATAACTAACAAGGGGCAGAGCAAGGTCTGCCTGGCTCTGGGACTGGGCCTTTGCCCACGCCACTCAGGCCATCTGTACTGTGTATTCTTATTTCTGAGCATTTCTATTTTTAAATACTATTTCCATTTTTGAATTTAAAAAAATAACAGGATGAAACTTGCAAAAGGGATGTCCACTCAGGTGCCCTGTGCCCAGGTTGGCAGCAATGTTAGGAGCATTTACTGTCTGACCCAGGGTTCCTGTGTCTGTGCAAGAATCTCAGAGAAGTTTAGAAAACTAACAAAATAATATTTTTAAAAAGAACCACAAAACCAAAAAAAAAAAAATTGAATCATCAAAACTTATTGTGTTGTGGAATTGTGGCCTGGTGTCTGTTGCTCGACCGGGAAGCCAAAGCTTGGCCACATCCTGCACCCTTTTTTGTTTGTGTGGGTTTGGTTAAGAGGTGACTCAGCAGCATCTTCACCCTCTGCTGGTACTCTGTGCTCTAAGATGTACAAGGTGATGCTGAGATTGAGCGTGTTCTTTGAACCATTGCCAGGGCTCCCGTGAACCTGAAACACAGTACACGCGTGATGTTCAGATGCATCCGAGCCCCACAGAGGAAATTTCTGGCATGTAGCCAACGGGGAAAACCCCTGTGTTGTGAGCATATGAAGATATCACCAGGAGATGCCAGGAATCTCTGCCCTTTTCCCTTCCCAGAGTGCTGCCATCTGGGTTTTACAGCCAGGTATAATTGCATCGCTTTCCCTGGGCATCTCTCTACAGCCTGGCAGATTTTTTTTTTTATTTTTAAACCCTCTGTATACACAAAAGAAAGAATTTTGCATGTGCCCCTGGTTCTTCGGCTAGTGCGAGATAACACACCATCAGTTGCCCACTGTGCTATACATATTTATCACTGCACACCTCACAGCCCTTGGAGACCACATAAGCCTTCACTATGCCCTTTTACAGGTGATGCGAGTAGGGCTCAGAGGAGCAAGACCAACACCACACAGTTACTGAGTAGCAGGGCCAGAGTCCAAGCCTGTGAATGTGCCAACCAGTGCCCGTTTCAGCTAGTACTTGGCTGTATGATAGCTTGAACCTGGACAAGGCCTGGATTCTAATCCTGTCTCTGTCACTGATGATATTTGTAAGGAAAGAGAGAACACAGCAAGGTCCACAAAAGTTAGCCATATTTCTGCCAGATCTAGAACCAACGTGTGCTCATTTTTTAAGGCATTTGCCTGGAATAGTTAAACCTTAATTCGTATGGATTAGACCTGTGGTCTCTCAAATCTTATCCCTGCCAGAAAGTAGCATCCTCCAAGGTAGAGGGAGGTGATTCTGAAGGGAATTAATTAGACACCAATTATCTCAAACACATTTATGAGTGTGGTATAAACTTTCCAGTCGAAAGATTTCTGCTAACCCTGGGTGTTAATCTAGACTGGGTTACGATATAAGATGGTGGCTGACTTATGTACTTCAAAATTCCATGGTGAGTCAATCAATATGTTATGGTCTTCTGCCAAAGAACACCTGATTTGTAGGCATTCTGGACCAATGTTTACACTGGCTAACACATTTGCCTTATGTGTTCCATTGACCTGAAGCACCAGCTTCGGGAACCTTCAAGACATGTTAAATCAGACAATCTGGGCTAAGACTCAGCAGTCTTAAGTAAGCCCAGGTTATACCTTATACTCAAGTTTATGAAATGCTGAGTTTTGTTTTGAGGGTGAGAGCTGTGTGGGAATTTGGGGTGCTTTCTGACAATGTTTTGAAAATCTAAGCCACTACAGGTTCTTGCCAGAACTTGAAAGTTTACCCCTGCATTACCTTTCCCACACCTGACCTGGTCCTTTAGCCTAGGGCATCCCAGTACATTCTGCACAAAGGACAAGGATACAGAGCTCAGTGAGAAGGGAGGCAGAGCTCACACTGTCTGAGTAAATATTCGTACCACGGCAGTATTGGTCCCGGGAAGCAGTGTATAGGTGAAGCCTTCCCCCCTCCCCACTCTGTGCAAAGCTCCATAGGTGTTATATTAACATTACAATCAGAACCAAGTAAGTGCTGCGTGTAGGTTTAGGAAGCCGCGTTCCACCTCCAAACTTGTGTTTCTGATCTTTAAACTGATTAGATAATGAGCCAGATGTGATAGTGCACACCTTTAATCCCAGCGCTCAGGAGGCAGAAGCAGGTGGATCTCTGCAGGTTTGAGGCCTACCTGGTCTGTAGCATGAGTTTCAGGACAGCCAGGGCCAAGGCTACATTTCTAAAAGGAAGAAAGGGGAGAAGAGCAGTTATCAGCAAGACGAATTCAGCAGCTCAAATGTCAGCTGCACAAGCCTGATGTCCTGAGTTTGAGCCCTGATCCCACAGAGGAAGGAAAGGACCAACTCCCAAAAGTTGCCCTCTGACCTCCACACATATGAGTGCACACACGCACACATACAATAGAAATAAATACATATTTAAAAAAACCAAATAGTATCAGATGTCTGGGTCCTAGGATTCTCTCAGCTCCAGGTAGCCCATGGTTCTTCATTCAGAGATGTTTTTACCCAAAGATAGACTTCCTATAATCCTACTAACTGCCAGTGAGGAAGAGGAAGAGGAAAGGCCATATTAGAAGGCAGAGGACATATGGGTTTGGTTAATAGGATTATAGTTGACATTCTCTGCCCTGTTTTCCTGCCTCTTCTTTCCCTTTCCTCATCCTCTTCCTTCTGCTTCTCCACACAGATGTGTCATCAGAGGCTGACCATCTCCTGGTTCGCTGTGGTTCTGCTGGCGTCTCCACTCATGGCCATATGGGAGCTGGAGAAGGGTGGTAAGCAATCTTTCCTTTCTTCCTGTGGGGCTCCAGTTTCTAAGCCTGAGCCCAGGGCAGCCACTGGGAAAGGAGACCGAAATGGACCACCATGCATGAGGTCTCCTCAGGAAAGCCTTGCCTTGGGAAAGATGCAGGGCTACCCTCCCCCCCCCCCCCCCGCCCCACTTCTTCCATCTCTGGGGTCAGTCTCTGCCTGGTTTGGTTTCGTGTTGGATGAAAAGAGTTTCAGTGGACTGTGGAGACAATGGGGACACGACCTTTGTCTGAAATACTAGAAAACAACTCTTCCAAACAACTGAAATTCCCTGGTAGAGAATTTCAAAAGTAGCAAAATTGTCTTCTGCCTTCAACTGCTCCTCCACTCTGCATTGTCCTCTTAGTGGGCTCTGTGATGGGTTTCCTCTGGCCACTTTAGGGTTGGCATTCATATTGACTTGGGTTCAAATCATGATTCTGCCAGGTATTGATTCTGAAACTTTGAGCTGGATAGCCTCATGGCCTCCGTTTTCTTAGTTGGGTGTCAATAAGGTCACTGACCACATGGGCTATTGACTATGTTAATGAATACAGAAGACAACATATGGTAAAATGAACATAAATGTTAGCAAGCCCTATTGTTTAAAACAAAGTCTCCAAACTTGTCATTATCCCAAGGGCAATAAGATTATTTGCAGACTAATAGTGTTGGCACAGCAAGGAGTTCTCTCTGTCTTTGTACTACCTCACACTTAGCAAATGTCCATCCACTCAGTCTTCATATGGACCTAAAAGAACCTCAAATGCTTCCTGAAATCCAAGGTAATAATATTGGTAATTTATGCTTTCATAGCTACACTGTCTTAGTTGGGGTTTCTGTTGCTATGAAGAGACACCATAACCAGGGCAACTCTTACAAAGGAAAACATTTAGTTGTGGTGGTTCACCTCCAGTTCAGAGGTTCAGTCCATTATCACCATGGTGGGACATGGCAGTGTGGAGCTAGAAATGGTGCTGGAGAAGTAGCTGAGAGTTCTAAATCTTGATCCACAGACAGCAGGAAGTGAACTGTCTGCCACAGTGAGTGTAGCTTAAGCAAAGGAGATCTCAAAGTCCATTCCCATAGTGACATGCTTCCTCCAACAGGGCCACGCCTACTCCAACAAAGCCACACCTCCTAATAGTGACACTCCCTTTGGGGGCTATTTTCTTTCAAACCACCACATATACTATTGCAATGTCTAATATTTATTGAACATAGAACCTCATTTAATTTTACAACAGCTGTATAAAGTAGGAGCTATCAGTGTCCCATTTTACAGATTTTGAAAACCAAGGCTCAAGAGATTAGAACAGGACTTGATCCCAGTTAGTCTCACTTCAGAGTCTGTGTGTTTAAGCGTTAGACAATTTTACAGGGAGGGCAGAAAGCAACTGTTTCCTGTGCCCATCAGGAAGAAATGGACATACATTAAAAATGAAAAGATTTCTTGCCTGATGATTATAAACAATACTTTGAGAACCCAGACAGTACAATACCAAAATTGGCACCTAAAGAAAATGAGATCAGTGTTGGGTCCCCAGGGGAATAGTGCAAAGATGGGGACATACCATTAAGTCTAATAAACCAGAAGCAAACTTTATTCTAGGACAAAAATAAAAAATAAATCACAGGGCATAAAAAGCTTATCAGCTAGCTGAGACCACAGTCCGAGGTGGGCTTATAAGGCTGTGGCAAAGGCTGGTTTCTGGACCCACCTTCTTATATTAGGTCTGAACAAAGGAATTTTTACAATCTCAAGGTAAAACTCAAATACAGATTGCCTTACTTTACAATCTTCATTGACAGAGGTTTTCAGTTAAACTAGTGTTTGTAGTTAATCTATTGTCTTCCCTGGTATCTTCAGGTGGTGTTTACTGAATCTCTGCATTCTTTCCTTCAATGCTGCTAGTTTCACATAGCAAGGAAAATGCATAACCGAGAGGTCATGTATATTCACCTCTTAAAGGTTAATTCAGCTTGTATCTGTCGTTAATCACAGATGGCGGGGGGGGGTGTTATCTTAAGCTAACTTTCAGTTTGCAGAGAGATGCTTTGGCCTTGTAAATACTTTGTTTGTAAAGCGGAGTAACCCACTGTTAATAGTTAATCCTTTGACTGCCTGCTCTCATTCTTCTAGGCTTATAACTTTATATTTCTTTATTTCTGCATTCTTATTTCTGGAATCTACATTTATATATTCTTATTCTTGGACCCTTTGGTCAGTATTTTCAATCCAAAGGTTCGCAGGAACTAGAAAATAACAGAGCAGGTAAGGGTATCTGCTGTTAATTCTGATGACCTGGACTTTACCACTGAACTGATCACTGAGATCTACATGATAGGAGAGGACCAATCTCTCCAAACTGCCCCCTGATCTCCAGACACGAGCTATAGCACATTTATAAACACACACGCACGTCTACACACACATACACACAAGGAAAAATTAAATGCTATTTTAAAAATAATAATATCAAGAAGTCTGGCCTCCCACCCCAATAGAATGTTGGACCCTTTCCTAAGTAAAGCTGCTGCCACAGTCAGATCTAAGGCCTGGAGATTTTGGAGAGCTTAGGAAGGCACTGCGGCCCTGGCTGAGTTAACTCTTTCATCACTTCAGACCTGGCAAACCACAGAAGTTTTCGAAAACCAATGTGAGAAACAGAGAAGGCTTGTGATGAAGTCACAGTGACAGCCTGCAGCCCAGGGGGACACCTAAGCTCTGCTTCCAACATCCCTGGGAAGTTCTTTCCCTGTCCTTGGGCCAAGGTCTTCTGAGGTTTCTGAGTCCAGGTTTTAACAGGAAAACAACCTGTAGTGCTGTTCGGTTGCCTGGGGGAAAAAGAGAAACTGGAGGAAGCCAAGGGTTCCTGAGGTCTGGTGTCAACTCAAGCTAATGATTTCCAAAGAGTTTGGCCTTTCTACACCCAAGGCTTTTAGGCCTTTAGCTGGTTCTGGTCCATAGCTGTGCCATTCCAAATCCCCAGCTCTTTGCCACTATGGCTCCCATATCTAATCAGGCATCAAGACCATCTAGAAGACTTACCAAAGGGGTCACTGGGGCCACCCCAACATTTCTGACTCAGAAACAGAGAGCACGCATCATGGATGTTTCTTGGTGATGCTGATGATGGAAGTTGGGAACCCACCAGGCTTTGAAAACCGCTACATTAAGTTATTCTTTTGATTAATAATTCATAAGTGGGTAACCAGCTGAATGAAGCTTTGATGTGACACTCTCCAGAATACCTTATGGAGCTATTCCTGGAGGCTCGTTTGCAAAATTTCAGTGCATTAGAAACCCATTGCATGGCACAGGAGACAAACACTTCCCACTTGATGGGACCTTGCTTAGCCTTTTGGCATCAATGCCTTCCTTCAAAAATGAGGAAACTTTCATCTACTTACCCATATTAGTGTAAATTAGCTCTTTTAAAAAAAAGGCTGCTAATGACAGTTTCCATTGATGAGGTTCATGCAGAAGGGATGAAAACCTTAAGTCTTCCTGGATAATTGTTAAAAGTTTTTCAGTGCATTTGCCTGGTACTTCGGTCTGTGGGTGGTGATGATGCTAATGGTGATGATGATGACGATGAAGCCAGGACAGAGTCAGGCTGTAGTTACTGTGCTGAGGTGTGTGCTTTTATCCATCTATCCTCATAGCCGATCTACAAGCATTGTTTCTATCATCTTGCAAGGACTCTGAGGCTCCTGGTAGTTCAGCACCTTACTCAAAATCCAATTAGAGGCCTTGGGATTTCCCAGTCTATCTTTCTCCATACCTATACTTTAACCACTATGTTACTCTGCTCAGCACACACCCAGCCATATTCCCTGTGAACTGCAACTGGCAGCTCATTCCCCACCCCAGCCCCACCTCCACTCCCTGACCTCTAACAACCAATCTTGTGTTGTTTGTATCTGTCTTGTTTCAAGGTTTCCCCTGTGTGCCTACTAACTAACCAGGGATTAATGATTACAGGCCGCCTGCCAGTTAATGACTTGGTGGCAGTTATAGCACTGTTTCCCTGTTCTGTGACCTTGAATCTGGACAGGGCTCCATGCCCTAAGACCATCTCAGCAAGCACTTCAAAACTCTTGTGAGCAGTGATGTGTCCAGGCAGTGGGGATGCTGACATAGTGGATGAAACCTAGTCCCAGGGTTCATGAAGTTCACCATCCAGGTCTTCACTGCTGGTCCTCTCCAGTTTATGTTGTAGAGGTGGACTGGTCCCCTGGTGCCCCTGGAGAGAGAGTGGCCCTCACCTGTGACACTCCTGAAGAAGAAGATATCATCTGGACCTTTGAAAAGAGCGGCAAAATCGTGGGCTCTGGGAAAACCCTGACCATCCTAGTCAAAGAGTTTTTAGAAGCTGGCCAGTACACCTGCCACAAAGGAGGCAAGACTCTGAGCCACTCACACCTGCTGCTTCACAAGAATGAAAATGGAATCTGGTCCACTGATATCTTAAAGGACCAGAAAGGTAATTCCATTCCCTGGGATAGTACTTTTTCTTCTACATCTCTTCCGAGAGAGAGAGAGAGAGAGAGAGAGAGAGAGAGAGAGAGAGAGAAGCTTGGCGGCTCAATATTGATTTTTTTTTCTTTTCTGACACAGATCCCAAAAATAAGACCTTCCTGAAATGCGAGGCACCAAATTACTCCGGACGGTTCACCTGTTGGTGGCTGACAGCGCTCAGCTCTGACCTGAAGTTCAACGTAAAGAGCAGCAGTAGGTAAGGAACGGAGTCCCTCTGGTTTCTCAACATTTTGCTAGACCTAGCTCACACAGAATCTAAGTACAAACTGTCCATGGATTATCAGTGAAGGATACGGGGACAGCAAAGTCGATTCTGTATTTTTTTTTTCCACTTTCCCTCAGCTTTAAGCTGTAAGCCGGCCCTCTGAGGATAGTTGTTAGGTGAGTTTGAATTCACTCATGCAAATTGCCTGGCAGCCCTTCATTAAGGCTTACAGCAGCATGGGGAGAAATTAAAGAGAACTCTTAGCCACAAATAACTTGCCAAAACTCTACCTTGTGCCAAAAACAGAAACAAGTGCTCTGGGGCCTCGCTCACGGAAACGCTGAAGCAGATTCTAGAAACCTCTGAGACCGTCTGAAATTTTCCTAGAGCCTTTTCAACTTCTCCCTGCCTCCCTCCCTGCTTTGCTATTCTGAAGTCCAGTTTGTCCCTACACGTGGGCTTTCCCTAAGAAACCGTTTCCCAGAGCTCCCGAGCTGGTGTGTCAGACGGCTCTGCCACTAACGTCAGTTATTAGCTGACTCCCTGAGCCACGTGGAGGGCAGTGGAACAAACACCCGGGCTCCACTACGGCTTAAATAAGTAAATTAGGGACTCAGTTCCCCATGTTCAGCATGAATTTACTATGACTTAAACATAACTAGGAAAAATAATGGTTCAGGGTGACATCAGAGTCCTTGCTGCTCGTAGGAAAATTTTCTGAGCTGGGGCCCCTGGGTAGACTCACATACATTGTAAGATGCATACCTGTGGTAGCATGCCAGACCTCTATGTGCTTATAAGAAAAATTATTTTTCTGGCTAGAGAAATCTTTGTACATGTTCATGAAGACACTGGTGCGTGGATAAGGGACACTGTGATACTTTGCATAATCGGCAAAGGAATACTCAAGTAGAGCAGTTATGTGCAAAAGAATAACCCAACTCATATGTTCTTCATAGAGAACTCCCCACAATACTTTCAGAGAGGAAAAAGATGGTTACAAAATCATATATATATATATATATATATATATATATATATATAATTTTCTTGTCTTTTTAAAGTCATGCTAAAATAGAAATAAAAACACATATGTACATGTATGTATGTATATGATTATCTTGAATAGTCATTCAAAAGTTCCAGAAAATTGTAAATAATATCTCTATCTGGGACTCAGATTTGAGTGAAAATGGGGATAGCAGAGACACGAATGTTTTCTTTATAAACATCTTTGTCATTTTGTTTTGTTTTGTTTTTGTTCTTACTTTGTTTTATTTTTGAGACAGGGTTTCTCTGTGTGGCTTTGGAGTGTGCCCTGGAACTTTCTCTGCAGACCAGGCTGGCCTCAAGCTCACAGAGATCTGCCTGCCTCGGCCTCCCTAGTGCTGGGATTAAAGGCATGTGCCACTACCACCGGCCCATCCTTGTCATTTTAATTCTTTATAATTAGTGTTTATTGATCTTATGAATGATAGAGAGAAAATTTAAATTTTCAATGACGGGGTTTAAACAGGTTCTCTGGCGTTAAAACATTTCCAGGTTCATTTAGGCAAGAAATGTAAGTTTTAGACTCTTATAGCTTCCTCTGCTGGAAAAGGCTGGGTTGGCTTTTGAACCCCAGAGGATAAATCTAACCAGTTCTCAGACGACAGTCACCAGGTACTTGCTCTCTGATCTATAACACAGAACGATTTCTGTCTTGCCCATCAGCTCCTCTGATTCCCGAGCAGTAACATGTGGAGCAGCATCTCTGTCTGCAGAGAAGGGCACAGTGAACGAAAGGGACTATAAGAAGTACTCAGTGGCATGCCAGGAGGATGTCACCTGCCCGACTGCCGAGGAGACCTTGCCCATTGAGCTGGTGATGGAGGCACAGCACAAGGATAAATATGAAAACTACAGCACCAGCTTCTTCATCAGGGACATCAGTGAGTTTTGCATGGGAGCATGTACCTGGGAAGCAAAGATGCTCAGGAAGCAAAGATGCCATGTGCCACATGGTCATGATCCCCTACAGCCTTTTTTATTCTGCACCTCCTGAAAAGCATGACATAGAAACTCTTGTCTGCATTTTGCAGAGGAGGAGACTGAAAGATCAAGCTGCCTTTCTCCAGATCTCTAGACTCACAGCTCAGACCCTGATTTCCCTCATGCAGCAGGCATTTGGGGACATGTCTAGTCTGCTCCCCAGGTAGATGAGTGATGGATCTGAGAGTCACTGGGTCTTCTACCCTGAGGCCACAACTTCCCTACCATCTGCAGTTTGCACAGTTCATTTTTCTCTAGCAATCACATATATGTGTGGAGTTATAAAATCCTTCGGACATCTACTTCTAAATTGACAGACAGAGAGTTTGTCTTTTCTCATTGCCTTTACCACATATTCATGGAATGGTCATCCTGATAAAATGGGATGGAATCAGAGACCTTGATGCAGAATTTTCAGAAAGTCTATAGGTGGTGGGATTGGGTGTTGACACAGGGATGGTCAGGGAGGTACCCTCTGAGAAGATGATGTTTGGCAGAGGCCTAAAGCCTCTGTTCATCTTATTACAGTATTATTATTATTATTATTATTATTATTATTATTAATTGTAGTAACAATACTATGAAGGGCATTTGTGAAGTGCCTACCAGGAACAGTGTAGTCATTGTGTAGAATAGAGCTAGGCTTCCTAAATGGGAGCATATTCCAGAAATGTCTCTCCATCAAGAAGAAAGTGCCACCTGAAGATCATGATACTCACTGTATTGTCAGACAGAATCCAGGGGTGGCACCTAGTAGATTATAAGTCTTGGGTCAGCTACATGCTTAGTGCAAAGTGGGGGATCAAGCCCAGAGAGGGTGTCCCTGACTGCAGAGCCCAGATACTAGTCTTTATTAAGCAGAATGATATCAGGGCCTGCCAGTCTTTGCAGTGAAGAAAAGGCTCAAAAACATAGGCTGCTGTCCATAACAGTGACTTCCTCACGTGGAAGAAGCATCCTCCACCGCCGTACCTCACAGGTGCTGCCCGGGTGCTTAGAGAAGAGAATGAGCTATAGGGACTCGAAGGTGGAAGGATCAGCCATCCAAGATCAGAAGCCTATACCCAGGCTCCAAAGTCTGGCAAGATCATAAAGGAGGTTTGTCCTCTTCTGCAGTCAAACCGGACCCGCCCAAGAACCTGCAGGTGAAGCCGCTGAGGAACTCTGAGGTGGAGGTGTCCTGGGAGTATCCTGACTCCTGGAGCACTCCCCACTCCTACTTCTCCCTCAAGTTCTCTGTCCAGCTCCATTGCGGGACAGAAAAGGTAAGGTGGGGGCAGGGACACAGGCGTGGTGGGTGTATCCAGGTCAGATTTATGCAGCCCATGTGGGGCAATGTGAAGATCCTAACAACCAGGCAGGCACTTGCTGAAGGGCTAGACTTGTGCTGAAGACTCTCTCTCTCTCTGCATCACACACAACCCACACAAAGGCCCAGAGGCGCCTCTTCACTGAGGACAGTGAAGTTCAGAAAGGCTATGACTTGTCCAATTTCACCCAGCTAGAACAGTGACAGAACCAGGACCCAGTGTCACTCTGCTGGAGGCAAAGGTTGTGACCCAAACCACCCACTTCCTCCAGGACAGTCAACTGCCAATCCTTAACTATAATTGTCAATGATAAAGAGAGCTGGGTTCCAGGAGCCTAAATGATTGTTTCAACCAAGTGAATGTAATAAATGCTAGAACATTGGTGCTGTGCCTCACACAATATGGATAATCCCTACTTGTGTAATATAAGGAGCAATCGTTTCACCAAACAAGGTGCCCACACTTATACAGACTAACATGGTCACTTTCCAGTCCTCTGGCCCTTAACACAGTGATCTCTCATAAGTTTTTGGAGACAGTTTTATAGAGCCTTTAAAGTCACAAATCAAAGGCTTTTTCCTACATAGCATTTAGAATGTGGTGACAATTCAGCTCAGAGATTCAATCACTCTCTAAAAGTGGGAGCAAAAAATGAGGTTATCTTGAAACAGATTGTAACTGTTAGCTAAATTTTGCTAAGTTTCAGCCCTGTATATATGTATTTAACACTCATATCTTAAATAGGTAATGTTGGGTGTTTTCTACTTGCTAAAAGCTTTCTGAGCACTTTTGCATAAATAGTGTATTTACCTGCTTCCATTCTTAGAGGCAGGCCCCATTCATAAATAAGGAGAGGTACAGAGAGCCAAAGACATGTTCCTGAAGCCCCAACGCTGTTTAGTAGCACTGCCAAGATTTGAAGTCACCAATGTAAGCTGACAGGCACGTGAGGGATGGGGGATGTCGTATTTCTGGATAGCCAGAATACAACTAAGGAAGGCTGGTCTCAGTCCCCCCCCCCCCCCCCCATGAGCCTCATACTGGAGTCTTTGCCTGTGAACAAACTACTATTCAGAGAGACAGAAAGGTGAAGCTTACTAAACAGAAAAGTGAGGCCCCGGGGAGACGGGTGAGTCAGTGAAGTGTTTCCTGCTGAAGCATGAAGACCTGGATTCTAACTCCCAGAAATTATGTAAAAGCTGGATGGAATGCCTATAACCCTGGCATGGCACACGTGCACACACTCGCATTTACACATACATGTATTTACAGCTTCTGCCAGCAGGTGGTGCAAGGATAGCGTCCTTAAGACTACACCGTGTTTGTTTAAGGAGGTTATGTTCTGCAGGAACATGCCAGCCTGCCTTAGATTGCCTAAAGCCCTTACACACTTTCCTCTTCTTTGTAGGAAAATAATTCCATGCTTGTAGATGAGACCTCTACCAAAGTTACATGCCCCAAAGGTACAGAGGTCTGCGTGAGAGCTCAGGATCGCTACTATAATTCATCGTGGAGCAAATGGACATCTGTGATCTACAGTTAGGTGAGCAGGTCCAAAAATCCCAGACTACACATTCAGCTCTCCCGGTGGAGGACAACAGTGGGGGCGTGGCTTGTGAGAGAGGAGGGGATAGAGTTCCTGGCACAGGGATATCAGGATAGCATTTGTTCATTCCCAGATATTAATTTGATGTGTTTGTTAGTTCAGGCACTGTCCTGGGCCCAGGGATATTACAATAAAGAAAACAGGCAAGGGTCTTTTTTATCTTTTTTTATCTTTGTACGGGGCGGGGGGGGGGGGGGGGGGGGGGAGGAAGGCCGGATGCCCGGGAAGCCAAGAATCAGAGTCAGGAGGACCTGGAAGTAGATAAAGTTGGAACATCGTCCTAGGGGCTCTGACGACCACTGAAGAGCTTTTAATAGCCTGATGCGATGCCCTTTTAAGAAAAATCTCTCGAGAGCCCCTGGCGAGCATGAGACTTCTGAGTCTCATAAGGAAGGACTGGTCCTTCTCGCATGGGAATCCCCAAACCCAATGGCTAGGGAGAAGGCGTGCTGAGCAATGGGAAATACGCTTCTGACTAACACAGACTTACCCACATTTCCTTACAGGGTCTAATCCCAGGATGCAACTTTGGAAGAAAAAAAGTGCAAGTGCAAGACGTTAGCAAAAAAAGTTTAAACTCATGATGGAAGAGACCCCTCCCAAAAGCTATTTTCTACTTAGTTGGCTTTTTCCAGTGTTTTAGCTTCATAATGACACCTTTGCTATATTTCTACATTTAAATGTCAAATGCCCACTGAGACAACGAGCTAATTTATTAACATAGCGAGCCTTATGTTATTTAAATATTTAAGTAATTTATGTATTTATGTATTTATTTCTGTATTTAACATTTGTATACAAAGATGTATTGAATATTTCATGTTCTCATGGCCTGATCCACAGGGACCAGGCCCTATTATGCAAAGTGTGAATTTATTATTTTGTTCAACACCTTTTCAACTAGTGCACAGGTACCCTGGCTTTTGAGACAATCAATAAGAGCATAATATTCTGACACAAGCAATGTTATGTATTTGTGACCAGTAAAGAAAGACACAGGGGACATTAGGAGACTATGAAGAAGCTATGAAGGAAATTCCGAAGAAATTAGTGCTGGTTCCAACATCAGTGAAGACTTCCTAGCAGTGGCATTGATAAGAAGCCAGGACCACCTGTGCTCCTATTAGACTCTGGGTACCTAAATTTAAAAGATTTTCTAAATCCAGGTTTGGGGCTATAGCTCAGATGGTAGAGTGTTTGCCTAGAATTCATGAAGCCCTGAGTTTGGTCCCCAGCCCTGTATAAACTAAGCATGGAGGTGCATACCTTAATCCTAGCACTAGGGAAATAGAGGAACTTCAGAAAAACCAGACGTTTAGCATCATCCCCATCTACATTACAAGTTCAAGGCCAGCCTAGACTGTATGATATACTACCTCAAGAAGAAGGGAAGGAGAGAGGGGGTAGGGAGAGTTAGCTGATTACCTCCTTGTCAGTCCCCACCTCCAACACTCATAAGACACAGAATAGAGACATCCTGGGTGTCTGGAAGAAAAGGGAATTGGCATTTGAGAGGGAACATAAGTATAGTTGTGTCTAGAGGACATAAAATCAGAAGTGCCTTAATAACCTTGTAAATGGACGCAAAGAAAACCATATAGAAGCACTGCCTCATCAGCCTGAGTACAGCTATGACCTGACAGGACCCCTCATGCCCCCGAAGGTACTGCAGCTACATAATGACCTAATACCATGCTTCTTGTAGTGATCGCCTTTGTCTATTTATTTATTCACTTATTTATTTATTTATTTATGCCTTGTGAAACCAAACGAATAAAAACTTTTCTTTGCAACCACGGTTTGCTTCTTTCTCAGCTGACTATGGCGTTCCATTTCCAAGCCTATTTGGGTACCCTCCACCTTCCCCCTTCTCCCCCCTCTCCTATCACCCCATCGTCTAAGAACTGCTTCTCCTTGAAGTGATTTCATCTCCAATTGTGCAGAATCGCTCTTTCCTTTTATAGTGTCTCCAACATCGGCATCTTGCTGAGCTCAGGGAAGGTCTCTGCAAGCTTCTCAGCAGGAACTCCACGAGGGCACAACACTGCACTGTGCCCTCTTTAGGGGTTTGCTGCTCCATCATCAATCCTGAAATGATACTCTGATTTCCCCCCTTGTCTTAGTTCGCTTTATATTGCTGTGATAAACCCCCACAATCAAAAGCAATTGGGGAGGAAAGGGTTCATTGTAGCTTAAAGCGTGTAGTCCACTGTGAAGGGAAGTCAGGGTAGGAACTCAAGATAGGAACTAAAGCAGGGGCCATGGAGGAGCACTGATTACTGGCTTGCTCTTTGTGGCTTGCTCAGTTTTTCTTTCTTAAACAAGTCAGGACTACCTGCCCTAGGATAGCACTGTTCATAGTAGCCTGGGCCCTTCCACGTCAGCAATCAATGAAGAAAATGACCCTCAGGCTTGCCTATAGGTCAATGTGATGGCGACATTTTCTGTTTTCTTTTTCTAATAATTTCTTTTTTTTTTCATTCTCCCTCTTCCTTTCCCCTTCCTCCTCTCCCTCCATCTCTTGTTCTCCTTTTTACATCCCAGCCACAGTTTCCCCTCCTTCCTCTCCTCCCAGTCCCACCCCCACCCCCATCCTCTGTCCCCACCCCCAATTCACTCCTCCTCTATTTCTGTTCAGGAAAGAACAGAAGTCCCATAAATATTAACAAAACAAAGACTATCAAGTTGCAGTAAGACTAAGTATCTCCCCACGTTGTAAGTCTGGGCAAGGCCTCCCAATATAAGGAGTAGAGTCCCCAAATTCAGTAAAAGTGTCAGAGACAGCTCTTGTTCCCACTGTTAGGAGTCCCACAAGAGGACCAAGCTTCTTGTAATGTCATAGACCCCCTCTGGCTCCTACAGTCATTTCTCCTGCTCTTCTGCAGGAGTCCCTGAACTCTGCCTAATGTTTGGCTATGGGTCTGCATCTGTTTCCATCAGTTGCTGAATGAAGCCTCTCTGATGACAATTGGGCTAGGTACCAATCTGGTTACAGGAGACAACCTGTTTAGACTATGTATCTACTATTGCTAAAAGTCTTAGCATCGCTCAATCTTGTGGATTTCTGGGAGAATCCATTGCACCAGGCTTTTACCTGACCCTGAAATACACCCCCCTTTCCAGTATTCTTTTTCATGACTCTCTTCACTGCCCCCCAACCTGATCACTCATGTTTCCATCCCCACCCACCCTCAGCCCATTCACAGAGTCTATTTCCCCTTCCCAGGGAGACCCTGGCGTACTCTCATGAGTCCTCCTGGTTACCTAGCCTCTCTGGGTCTGTGGATTATAGCATAGTTATCCTTTATTTTTGCAGCTAATGTCCACTTATAAATGAGTACATATGATGTTTGTCTTTCTTGGCCTGGGTTATCTCATTCAGAATGATTTTTTTCTAGTTCCATCCATTTACCTTCAAACTTTCTGGTGTTATTGTTTTTAACACCTGGGTAGTACTTCGTTGTGTAAATGTACCACATTTTCTTTATCCATTCTTCAGTTGAGGGGCATCTAGATTACTTCTAGGTACTGGCTTTTACAAATAAAGTTGCTATGAACATAGTCAAGCAAGAGTCCTTGTGGTATGATTGAGCACCCTTTGACTATATGTGCAGGAGTAGTCTTGAGGTAGATTGATTCCCAGTTTTCTGAGAAACTGCCACACTAACTTCCAAAGTGACTTTCTAAGTTTACACTCCCACCAGCCATGGAGGAGTGTTTCCCTTGCCACACATCCTCTCTGGCGTGAGCTGTCGCTTGTGATTTTGGTCTTAGCCATCCTGACAGGTGTAAAATGGACTCTCAGAGTTGTTTTGATCTGCATTTCTCTGATGACTAAGAATGTGGAGCATCTCCTTAAGAGTTTCTCAGTCAGGGACATTTTCCTAGCTGAGGGTCCCTCTTCTCAGATGACTCTAGCAAGTTGACAAAACCCTAACCAACACATCCTACACCATGAAATCAAACTCTGACTCTACATGAGATGAATGTCCTCCTCATTTCCCCCATTTTATCCACTCAGCTCCAGGACTCATTGAAGATCTGTATTGTGTCTGTATGTCCGGTAGTCCTTAGTCTTTGGGGTTTCCAATGAATCTCATGTTATATTTCTCCTCAGAGTGCCCATTTCTGGTATTACTTAAAAATAAGGCGGGACATATCTAATTCTGTGTATGATGTCCCAGGATCTCAACAGGCTGAACAGAAAAGAGAAGTCATCTTTGTATAAATCATGAGCAGACCCTATCAAACTCTTCTAGTGGCTCCTATGGGAAGAGTTCACAAGGGTGAACTCAGAGAGAATGGAGATCAACTCCCTGCTATCCTGAAAATACAACTGTACACAGCTGGGCTTCTTTGCAACAGTAGGGGGATTTGGGGTATTTACTTAGAGTCCTGGTAGTATTTTCTAGAAGGGTGGGAGGGAGTTTCTGTCTTTCTATTCAAGCCATTGAAGTACAACATCCTGCTATGAGCCCACACTTGACAGCAGGGAACGGCTTCTAACACTGGCTGATCTTCCTATGAGTTCTTTCATCTAGTGATACCGCAACATCTAGTAGGAACTAAATGAACAATAATAAGAAAAGAATAACCACATTTTAGAAGCACAGACACCTAGGGATGTTTCCCCAAACTTCCAGCAAGCTTAGGGCAGGCTTGGCTGTGCTATTCCAGCCCTCACTACACAGTTGCTCTTCTGACATGACTTCTTAATATTTGATTGACTTTAATGCATGCAATTATAGTAGGGAGAGCGGGTCCTTTGGTTTCATCTCACCCGGCTAGCTTACATCAGATATAACTACACAGAAATTGTATTAATTAAATTACTGCCTGGTCCATTATCTCTAGCCTATTACTGGCTAACTCTCACATCTTGATTCAACCCTTTTCTAATAATCTGTGTAACACCACGAGGTTGTGGCTTACTGGGAAAGATTCTAACCAGTGTCAGTCTCAGGCAGGAGCTTCATGGCATCTGCCACACTGCCCTTCTTCCCAGCATTCAGTTTGGTCTAGTCCACCTATTTAAGTTCTGCCCTATCAAAAAACCAAAGCAGTTTCTTTATTAAACCAATGAAAGCAGCACATAGACAGAAGGACCTCCTACGTCATGCAATGAAGAGTTTCTCAATTTGAAGTTGATTTTCCAGGACAGACCTTCATAAAAGTCAAGTACCTGGATGTAGTGATGGCACTGAGTGGCCTGGTCATGCAGTGCAAGTGCCAACCAACAGGCCCCGGTGATGCTCAAAGCCCTAAGACCTGCTATGACCATCCTGATGAGGTTAAGGTGTGGCTGGTGAAGATGCTTCCAATAGTAGACCGTCAAGGGCTGACAGGACATTAGCATCATGGTCTGATGGTAACCAGACCATGGGTACTTTGAGGTAAGTGTTCATTCTTGAGGTACAGAAAACACAGAAGCCCAGGAGAGTGGTCCTGGTGGAGCACAGGGCACAGGAGGACACCTCTGAGCCCCGGAAGCTGAAGGTCGGGAACTGGATGGAGAACCAGTGGTTACAGGGGCTGCATGTCATTGGTGGCAAGAAAGCAAGGGACAAGAGCAATGGCAAGCCCACCTGATGAGGAAGAGCAGATTTAGGCGCAATTGAAGGAATGGGCACTGTGCCCACAAGAGTGAAAACTTTCATGCTCAGGGGCACCATGGAGGCCTGTGTAGAATCATCAGGCTCCTGAAAGAGCCACGATAGGACCAGGACCAGAGAGGAGCAGGTAGTCAGCTCTCAATTCAATGCAGACGCTCTTAGGAACCCAGAGTCTAGTGCCAATAATTATTAACTGCACAGAGGTCAAATACGCAATGCTGTGTTGCTTCTAGACTGGGACCTCTCACAGCACTCCTTCCCATCCTCCGGCTCTTATATACTTCCCACTCTCTTTTTCAGGATGTTCGCTGAGCCTTGGGCAGCTTGATACAGATGCCCCATTAAGAGTTAAGCATCCAACAGGCGTTCATTCTCAGAACTTTGAATAGTTGTAAATCTCTGCATTAGCGACTGCCCACTGCAGACACTTCTGTGACTGGGATTGAGAACAACATTAATCAAAGAACATTGCCGCAAATATTTAAAAGGCAGTTTGGTAACATGTCCATTTAGCTAAATAATAGCGATAAATAGGGCCACAATTTTCCAAGCCATTGCCTTCTAACCAGGTTTATACCAGGCATAACTTCCTTTTATGGAGCAAGCCTCAAATTCAATCAAAGGGATCATTGGCTGTCACTCTGACGTCCATGCCACTGCTGCACCAGAGGGCACAACTTTCAAGGCAGGATGAGGATGGCATTACAGCATTCCAAGTGCTCCATTGGGGGGTACCATTCATGAATCTTCTCTCTCAGAGGCCTGCATGGCACCTTCCAGAACTGTCAGAACTAGCCAGCAGCAAGTTTTCAGGTCAGTTCCAGCTTCATTTTTCTATATCTTGTCATGAGAGCAGTCTGCTTTGATGAATAAAGTGTTATTGAAGACCTTCCATTCCCCAATGCAAGCTAATAAAAGAGTTTATTAAAGATCTGAGCAAAATATCTCGAAACTTGGAATCAAAAGGTCAGGCCTTAAGGCAGACCTGTTATGTGACCATATAACCTTGAGCAAGGCATTGGGCATGACCTGTTGACTGTCCAACCAACACTCGCCCCCAGAGTCCTTCTCTGCTGCTCCTCTTTGGCTGCGAAGCTGAGTAAACACTTTTCTAGGCGCTCCTCCTGCTCAGCATAACCAAGGAGGCCAGTTCACCGAGAAGTAAGAAAATTCCACAGAGA